CGTGGCCAATCGCGTCTCTGAGATTCGTCGTCTCACACAGCCAGAGCAATGGCGGCATGTGACCACTGACCAGAACCCCGCAGATCTGGTCTCTCGTGGGTGTACTGCAGCAGTGCTGACATCATCGGACCTATGGTGGACTGGGCCCGCATTCCTGTCAACCGACGAGCCAGGGCCTGCCAGCCCTACGCTTCAGCCCAGCTCCGGCGCTCGGCAGGAGGTAAAAGGTTTGCCACGCAACCGCTCGCAGGACATGCAAACGTATCATGCAGACGTCCAAAGTGCCAACGATGCACCACCCGAGCAGGATTGGATCATTGACCCAGCAAAGTGGCTAGACTGGCAGAAGACCATCCGTACGCTCACATGGGTCCGGCGGTTCATCTCGAACTGCCGTGCAGCGGCAGAGGATCGCCTGGCAGGAGAGCTCACCCCGATTGAGTTGGCTGACGCAGAGCTGTACGTCGTTCGGAACACGCAGCGTGATGCGTTCGCTGCTGAGATAGTCCTCCTGAGGAAACGCAAAGCAGTGCATGCTACCAGTAAGCTGGCCAAGCTGTGTCCATTTCTTGACGACGATGGTGTTCTACGCTGTGAAGGGCGCTTGCAGTATGCGGAGTTCCTGCCACGAGACGCTGTCCATCCGATCATCCTGCCGCGGAAGCATGCCGTGACCAAGATGCTAATCAGGTTCCAACACGAGAAGGGAAAGCACGCTGCGGGGACGAACGCAACATTGTCTGCGCTCGCCGCCCGCTATTGGGTCATCGCCGCACGGGAGGCCGTCCACGAGTGGGAACAGGAATGCGCAGTCTGTCGCCGGTACCGGAGCAAGCCAGCTGGGCAACGAATGGCACCGCTGCCGGTCAGTCGGATCGTGCCCTCTCATCGTGCGTTCAGCCGCGTGGGCGTCGACTACGCCGGCCCCTTCCTCACCATGCAGGGACGCGGTCGGGCCAGAACCAAACGCTATCTGTGTGTATTCACGTGTCTGGAGACGCGCGCTGTACATCTGGAGCTCGCATTCTCACTCGACACATCTAGTTTCATCAACTGTTTCTTCCGGTTCGTGAGCCGGTGCGGCCTTCCCAATCAAGTCATATCGGACAATGGCACAAACTTTGTTGGTGCAGTTCGGGAGCTGAAGGACCTCATTCGCAACATCGACCAAACCAAAATCCAGACGGGCACCGCACATCATGGTGTGTCCTGGTCGTTCAACCCTCCAGCAGCACCTCATTTCGGTGGTGTGTTCGAGATTATGGTGAAGGCAGCCAAACGTGCTATTTACCACATTCTGTCTGGCAGTGACATCACCGACGAGGATCTGCTGACCGCCTTTGCCGGAGCAGAGGATCTGATCAACTCTCGCCCGATCACCGCCATATCAGTCAACCCCAACGACAATTTGCCCCTCACCCCGAATCATTTTCTGAACGGGAGACTTGGAGAAGTCGTCCTACCGGAGTCTGATCATCCGCGTCAGCGATGGCAACGCATTCAGGAGCTGCTTGGGCATGTCTGGCGTCGCTGGATCCAGGAGTGGCTGCCTCAGCTCAGCAAGCGGGTCAAATGGACGGCAGACCAACGCAACGTGAAGGTTGGTGATGTCATGCTGTTGCTGTCTCCAGACACCGCTAGGCGTAAATGGCCCTTGGCTCGGGTTCTGGAAGTCTACCCCGGGAAGGATGAACGAGTACGTGTTGCCAAGGTGCAGGTGGGTGATCGTACTCTTGTGCGACCCATCAACCGCTTGTGCCCACTGGAGTATGCGTCAGAGTGATGGACTGATGTGGACAGCTTTTCTGCTGTCTGTCTTCTGAAAATCATTGCATGTCCTCTATCTTCTTATTATTATTAGTCAGCGGTATTGCTATATCTTTACCCTGCTGCGGACCTGCTGTCTAGCCACCTGGACTTGCTTTGCTAAGAGCACGATGTTGGGTTCTTAGTGGTGGAGCTAGTAAGGTACTATTTATTTTGTTTTATTTCGATCTGGTCACGTTGTCTCATATCGAGGAAGAGGAGAATGTTACGGAGGTAGCCTCAATTGAAGTATTATTCGTTCTCGTTCTGCTTTTTTGAATGTTGCTGAACAGTTTTCCTCTCCATGCTCTGCTAAATCGTTGCCTGTACGCGCCACGTCTAGCGCCTTGTTTCTACGCTAGCACTTAGCACCTTATTCGTCATCACGCGCTCTTCTTACATCTAGCGCCTTGTTTCTACGCTAGCACTTAGCACCTTATTCGTCATCACGCGCTCTTCTTATCTACATGCATGTGCTAAGTGTTGGTGTAGAGGCAGGGTGTTAGATGTGGCCGTCGCTCTTGCTATATAAGTTCATCGGAGCGTAGGCACAGTTGTTGTTTTCCAGAGTTCTGCTTGTGACGGTATTCTTCTGAATGGTCATCGAAGTAAATCTGAGTATGGTTCAAGACAGTTAGTTGCCTTTCGAGAATATCTCTGGGTTTATGAGCCACAATGATAGAAGTAAACGCAATGATTTCCTTCTGTTTCAGTCGTACTTCGTTGTCGAGTAAAATAGAATCGTCGCCGTGTAAACGCAGCGTGACGCTACTAGTAGCTGCGAGATGCAAAAATTGAGCCTCACAATTCAAGAAAGGGGGCTTATCTAATTTTAGAGCATTTTGAGTTATCCATACCATGACATTGCTGTACCCCAACAGATCACTCTGCAAAAAAACTAGGTCCAAAACCTATATCTTTCACAGAGTTATGGGTGTTTTAATAAGTGATTTATGCATCGCTTTATACTGAAAACCTTCAGCGCAGCCTACCACCACAACACAAGCATCGCCATCATCTTCAGCGTCACCAACCACACCAATGTTGCCATCCCGCACAGCGGCACCAACTTTCCTGTCTTCGTTACCGAAAACACCAATGTCACAGAAGATTTCAACGCCAACAAAAGCAAATACCGGTACTTCAGTTACATCGCAATCACATCCGACGCCACCAACTTCATCAATGTTACAATCGGGCACAACGGAACCGACTGTAAAGTCTTCAGGAACATTACCAACATCATCCACGCCACAAATACGTTCCAATCAACAGTCAATTCAGTCGACAACAGCAACAGCGCGTCCCTCTACGTCTAATGAGATAAGGTTCAATATAGTTACCATGGCATTTGCGTCTAACACAAGCGTTGTTGCAACCACCGAGGATGCTCACCACAATCTAGAGAGGCCCGTTAAAGAGCAACAGAACTCCGCCGTACCTATTGGCTCCGGTGTTGCCGTCTTGGTTGCTGTCGTCTTAGCCATTGTTATCCTCGTTGTATACAAGAAACGGCAACAAAGAAAGCTTGGCCTTTGTTCCCAACACGGTGAGTAGTGATGTACTCGTAGGAATATATTCGTTTTGCTCGGTTATACATGTGCATAGTATAATCTTCACTGGTGAGGGCGGGTGAGGGTTGCACTGCGGTATGTTGACACCTGTTGATGCACATTGGATTAACTGAGTGAAGGATTGTGGAACTACGTGATAGGGTAAAGATGATACTTTTTCATCATTTTGGTAATATGACTGCGTAGTGGCTTATGTTATCGTTCCTATTTAAAGGAATAGTGTGTTGCTCCCTACATGGGAGCTCGCCGTTTTCCTGCCGACTTGAATTCTCACTTGACTGACTCACGACTGCCACCCAGAGCACACGAGAAGTCCATGGTACCGTCCACTCGGAAAACCTGCAAGAAAGCACCACTCCCTCCTCAATACTCTTCTTCACATTGTTGTCCCCAGCGCGGGCTTGCGAATTAGATGGTTTGGAGGCATCAACGTTATGAATGGCCAACGGTCCTCAGCGCTTGTTCAGTACCTCCATGAGCGACACTGACTCACGCTGCTATCTGGTGTTCACGAGGTGTTTGTCACGCTGGAAGCGGAGCGTCTCTGCAAGTTTGTATACCTGTTGAGGTTTGTGCCTGGAGAGCAGTATATAAGTGGTGCTCTTCAGGCACAATCTTCCTCAGCCTACTCAAGCTCAACTGCATGATGAGGGTGAATTCCCCGAAACACTGTGTATTGAGCAGGGAGTGGAGCTTTCTTGCAGGTTTGCCGAGTGGACGGTTCGATGGACTTCTCGTGTGCTCTGGATGGCAGTCGTGAGTCAGTCAAGTGAGAATTCAAGTCGGCAGGAAAACCGCGAGCTCCCATGTAGGGAGCAACACACTGTTACCCTACTATCGCCGAAGTCGCACCAACCTCTTCGTCACATTGTTTCCATTTAAGCCCCATCAATTTTCAAATACAGATACAGAAAATTTACTCAGTCTCGTGACGCAAAACTGTTTGGAACCGGCTGTTAATGAGCTCGGTTCGCCGATAGTGAAGAGAAATTAACCAGGCGTCTAGGGCTTACGCATTCGTCTCCTCAGAGGAGATCAGAGTCATTCACAGTCAGAGTACACAGGGGATTTGCATGTACATGAACATGTACTCTCCTCAATCCTGATGACGGCTCCTGGCCGAACATTTGATTGAGAATTACTGTATTTTGCAGCGAAGAGACCGCTTTGATTGAAGATGGTGTGTGTAAGGTTTCCACTTAATGATGATGTAGTACAGTTTAACACAATTTCACGTGGATGGATAGCCAAGGAGACATATCCATGTAGAAAAGGACCAAGGAACTACAAGTTCAGCGGTGCTGTGTATGTTCTGTGCTAGAGTTAATAGCCAGTTAGTTCTAGAACGTTAGTACTGTCGGTCAGTTGCGTGCAATGTTATTGCATGAGCTGATTAAGCCTGATTGTTTAGCAACTGGTGGTCTTACAGCGTACATGTACATATACATTGTAGCGTAACGTGTAGTTCCTTGGTCCTATTCTTTTCCAAAATTTCTTTACAGCAATTTCACTTATTGAACATTCATACAAACTCCACGGGTAATCTGTGCTTGGATTATTGGTTTGCCTGGTTCCGCACCTCTTCGCTAACATTTGCTTTTGAGATATCCGGAAGGAAAATCTCTAACCTCACGTCCAGGATATAAGATCTCTATATGTGTTTGTGACACTTATCGTTTGTTCCCAGGTCCAATGGTACTGCAGAATAACTTTGCGGTGGGTCAAATGGTAAGCAAACGTCATAGACATAATTATTTAAAAAAACTTACGAAATGCGAGACGAGAAAGAATTCATTTTTTGTGGATGGCCACATAAAATAATTGTGAACCTGAGTGCGATAATGACTGAAAGTGCGTACCCTTTTGAAGTGGGTTCATCCCGTGAAGATCCAGATCACACGGAGTTCTGGTGAGCAGTAGCCTTCAAAATAACCGAAATCAAGCCTCTTTTCCGGCCAAAAGAAACAAAATGAATGAAACTGCAATACAATTGCAAACCCAGAAAACCAGAAATGTATTTACCGCCCCATACCGAGGTCACAAGTACATAAGCACTAGTACGGCATTTCGCGTCCGGACCGTGAAAGTGGTGCTGTGTGTGTTTTTGTGAGTGCGTGGATTTGGAACAAGTTCTATGAGGTGCTCACCTCTCAATAATAGCTCAAGTTCATGAGAGTAAAGTCACAAACAAGTAGTGTACCCAGATTCTTGGAAAATGTGCCAAGTCATGAAGCGTTCTGAATAATGAAACTGTGTTCTGGGGCAATATCATAATTTTCTCTCAGGATCCTTAGCATGTACCGTTATCAGACACAGATTCAACATCATGGTGTTGATTTCCACATTTCCTTTATTCTCGCCTGGGCTATGTCACAGTTGACTCATGACACGATTCCTGTTATGACAAAATATGTATTCCTTCACAGCGGCCATCAAATTGTCAGAATGCTCATGGTGCGGTCGTAAACGAACCGGATCGGCTACAAGATGGATTCCAGGGCAGTCTCGAGGATGCTGCATCCACTCATGTGAGTATTGCTGTGATCGTTTCCCATGGTGCATGGAAACTGGAATACCTGCAATACATGTGGTCTTCTTCTAGGGTGTATGGACACTGATAGGCCTGCAGCAAGTTCCATCTGACATCTGGAGCAATTGGATTTATTCTCTCTTGATAATTATCGAATACGGATTGCGACAGGCGTGCTCCTTTGGCCTGCAGAGACGCAGTGTAATTGTCCTAAACCTGCCGTGAGCATGTGGCATGTCCAACTATCATGCTCGCACTAATACGACACTCAGCACAGGTCACATGTATCAGGGCCTGCTGGAGAGCCGGGTCACGCGCCCGGCTGGGGAACTGAACGACCTGGCGGAACAGATAAGACCGGGTCCAGTCTGATCCTGCTGAAAAATGTCTCAAACTGACAATGGATTCCTAAAATACCGGTATTTTACGACTCGCGGACCCCATCTGTTGCAAATCTAGCGTACACACCAGTCTACAAGCGACAGAAACTCGGCTAGGGTCAAAGGGGCATGGGCCCATGGCATGGGGTCAACTGGTTCGAGCGCGATCTGGCCAGCGGCGAGCAGGAAGTCAGGACATTCAAACTCAAAGTCGATGATGGGGCAGGCAGTCAAAAGCGTAACCATGGTAACTTTGGCTATAGCTTTTGACACAGTTGCAAGTTTTCACTATTTCAGCCGACTGGTGATTTGGACCATCGAGCCCGCAGCGAAGAGAAAAAGAACTCACGCTTTCCAAGACTCTTGGAAGAAAGGTCGACCCTGGCTGGACTACGACCATGCCAGTCTATCCATGTCATCAAGAGTAAGGGGGTTATGTACTCTTGATGTAATGCGCTTTGTGCAAGACGCATTTCCAAAGGAAGACGAAAAAATTCGCCTTTCTGTTTTCCTGCGTTTTGAGCAGGGTTTTTGGTTGTTTTTCTCCCGGATGATCTGACCCGGCTTGACCCGGCTGGCCTGCATGCACCAGGTACACTCTGACCGGGCTGTGCGGAATGTCTAGAGCAGGCCCTGATGTATGTACATGTACGAGATAGTGAGCTTCACAGGACCTGCTACCATGCTCTACGCTATATAACTGTACTAGGAGGAGATTTTTCACCATTAATTTTGAATACTAGTTTCGGTATACAGTATTAAAGGGGCACTCCGGCTTCATTTTCGACGCCGAGTTTTCGATGCCAAGACGAAGGTAGGTGAAAGAGAAGACCCCTCGAACAAGAACGAGTCTCCAGAAGCGATCGAGTCGAGCAGGAAGACGACTTTTGAATTTCGCCGAGCGAGCGCTGATGACGTAATGAGGGATTAGCTTGCCAGTGGAAATGCATCTGCGCACATACATTTCACATACTTTTTGGCCAATTTTCAATCGAAGAGGAGGTTGTTTTCTATGTTCTCTCAACGTCGTGAGCGATCCCGTCTTCTATACCCTTCCAGGTACCCTGAAGGTCCTGCAGAGGAGAATTTATCTCCAGCGAAGCGTTGTTGATCCGCTAAATTCGTCTCGAGACATATTCACCCAGTGCAGTGCTGATAAATGTAGAATGTTGAATCTGTGATAATTGTCGACGATGGAGAGAGAGGTTGATAGCCGCTGTCGCAGGGAAAGTGAAGCTGCTGGAAGTAACAACGGGGAGCTTGTTAGCATCACATGTGCATCCAGACTTCAAAGCAGCTTGACGGAATCGGGGAGTACTGACTATTTGTCTCGCCCTCAGTTTAGTGAATTTTATGACCAGAAAATTATTCGATCAGGATCCCTTCTACAAGATGTGTAGTACAGGTGATTTCTGAACTAACGTGGGTTACTTGACGATATGGAGACCGACCAGTAGACCTACCAACAACGTGTACCTGCAGGAAATTCACCCAAGGCTATTGCTATCCTCTTCAGTGGCTGTTGTTTTGTAGTAAAAATATGTTCACTTCTCTCAACATACTCCTGCATGTCAGCAAGAAGGTGCGCTATGGCCACAATCTTCGCCCAGCTGTGGATGAAGCATGGTCAAGTCATGGCAGTACATATACTTGAAACAGATGAGAAATTGAAGTTCATTTGTGATGGGAAGTTTGACAGCCCCAGTGACCGAGTCAAGCATTGTCTTTTGCCGTGGCACAAATTGCTGAAGAATCCGAGATGGTCTTGGAACTATGCACATGGATACTACCAGAAATAATGGTGGCATGAACCATTGTGGAATGGGACAGCTCACGGAGAATACTGGAATAGCTCAAGTATCTCTAAGTGATTGTAAATCCTGTTCTGGCTGATAGCTTCGGCCTGCTGCGCCCGTCCATGTACAATGATGGGAACATGCATTTCTGTTTTCTACATATTTGCCGGCTACTGTACTGTGGTATTACAGTTGCAGGTCCCTTATATAAAAAATATGTTCAACCCCCTCCCACATTATAAATATGAACTAACAATTTCACTGTTGGACTCGCAGGTGGGTAGAGAGCAAAGGATTAATTTATAGCAAAGAAAAGGACCAGGGAACTACAAGTAAATTAGTTACGCTATACTGTCCACGAACAATTTCACTGTATTTGAAATAATTTTGTTTGATACCCTGAGAACTCTGAAACTTTGCAGCACTGTGGATTATATGTGGATACAACATTTATAGAAGGAAAAGTGGAATGATTTCTAACACATTGTTCAAATAATTATAGGACTGAATTGAGATTGTGAGCACATTCCAATCAGCACTCTACATATTTATAAGCGGTGGAAATCGTTAGGAATAGGTCGTGAGTTGTCAGAGTGCTCCAGTATATGAGAGAATGTTTTGTTTGTCTAATCGACGGCTCGTTTGAAGCCAGAGTTGTTTGAACTTGTTTCAGTCGACTTGATTCTAGATAGTAGTCGGAGGAGTACTATGAAGTACACACCACACGTAGTCCGTAAGGTATCTCGTGAGAATTCTGTCGGTACACATCAGGTATCAGCTTGGAAAGATGGATCCTCTCTGTTTCTTGAAAGCCTGTATAATTGGACTGTGGCTCCAGCGATTCCCTTCTCAGAGCAGATACCATACCCAATACGGTCAATGCATATTGGACAGACCTGTATGCACAACAGAAATAGTGGAGAGAAATCTCTCAGCTCATGAACACGTCAGTGAAGTTTGAACTGCCGTTGTTTGTGGCCATCAGTATAAACCTATCGACTATAAGAATAATGTGCAAACAAACTTCTATAACCACAGCTGGGGCCATGGAATTATAAACTTAGGGAACTGCCAATTCTGGTCTGAGTTGCGTTCGAGGCCTGCAATTCATGATGGCTATCGTATGTTGCATTGACCAGAGATCATAATATTATTATAAAACTTCCATGCCACATTGAAACACGCACCACTTTCGAGTACTTAGGTATCCCTCACCAAATGGGCATTCGTTCTCGGGGTGACAGGCGTCACTATTCGTTATGCCTGGATCAGATTTCATTGACCCAAACTGTCATGAAGAATCATTTTTACTTTGACTGGATTTCAGTACAAGTTGTAGAACTGCAGAATCAATTTCGTTGTATTTGGGCAACCATTTCACTACAAACGCTCTATTGGGAAAATAGAATTTTTTTATAAAATACATGTCCAAATTCCACATCTACCCAAATCGGAATACTTGATCACGTATTCAGTACTACACAGAATGTTTAGAAAACGCCAGAGAATAGGAATTTGCTAACAAGAACTCCAGGCCAGGGTACTAGCATACGAACAAAACAAGATAAAAACTCACCAGTGTACTTGTGGTAATTCATGTCGGTGTAATATTCACGATAAGCAACGAGGCACCCTCCGATTTGGTCAAGCTGCTTTGAAGTCTGGTTGTTCAGGTGATACAAACGGGCTCCCTGTTGTTACTTCCAGCAGCTTAACTCTCCCTGCGACAGCGGCTATCAGCCTTTCTCTCCATCGTCAACAATTATCACAGATTCAACATTCTACATTTATCAGCACTGCACTGGGTGAATATGTCTCGAGACGATTTTAGCGGATCAACAACGCTTCGCTGGAGATAAATTCTCCTCTGGAGGACCTTCAGGGTACCTGGAAGGGTATAGAAGACGGGATCGCTCACGACGTTGAGAGAACATAGAAAACAACCTCCTCTTCGATTGAAAATTGGCCAAAAAGTATGTGAAATGTATGTGCGCAGATGCATTTCCACTGGCAAGCTAATCCCTCATTACGTCATCAGCGCTCGCTCGGCGAAATTCAAAAGTCGTCTTCCTGCTCGACTCGATCGCTTCTGGAGACTCGTTCTTGTTCGAGGGGTCTTCTCTTTCACCTTCCTTCGTCTTGGCATCGAAAACTCGGCGTCGAAAATGAAGCCGGAGTGCCCCTTTAAAGTCACTCTTGATGGGTAGTGCTAAGTCATAAGAGCCTAAGGGCGCATTCTAACCAGTGATATTCGCTATTTACCGCTATAGAAATCTGTAATAAACGGTCTATCCATCCGGATTTTGTTGCTCCCTGCAGGGCTGCTCCATATTAAATCGTTCAGAATCAGGTACTGCAATTACGGAGAGCTCCTATGCAGCGATCGGAGCAGAAACAGCTAAAGCCAGCTCTAGTCCGCTTGCTATGAGGCCAACTCAGGCTCAAAAATCCAGTTGCATCACGAGTGAAGATCCTCCGAATCAATCCACTGAGGTATGTGCAATTGATGTTCCACGCACTCATATTCTTCATCTTTTACTTGTTAATAATGATCTGTTCATTTGTAAGAGAAAAAGATGCAAACAGGAAAAGCCTGAAGAAGTCTGGCTTGCTTTTTTTGACAATTTGGATTGGACTTGGTTCGCATACTAAACACAGCAGCAAACCATGCCATACTATTCTTGTAGTGATACGTTTCGGTGCTTAGTAAGATTCCGCCTTTCTGTCAGGATGTTTGAAAATATTATTTTGGACAGTTTATCGCTGTTCTCCAATTCATTTTTCTCTTTGATGCATTGAACTTGCGCAGGCCACGGGACTTCAAGCTGCTGCTGAACACAGCCGCCTTGAATCAGTAGACAAGATGTTTACGTATGAAAGTGTGTCCTACATTCATCCACTACGGCCTATTAATCAGACGGTGCCAGTGACTTCCGCTGCTGCTTCAATGGACAAAAGAAAGATTCGAACCAAAGATGAGAGCGCAGATGACAGCCAAATACCCCTGCAGGTGTGTTGCCTGGCAGGTGAACCTCGCCCAAGTATTGAAGATGATGCATACGAGAACGCACACCAGAAGACTGCATATGACCAGGATTTCAATCCGGATCAGTACGATAACGTCAAGTTTGTTGGCGGAGCTGGGAAGCACCAGACCACTCCAGCAAATACAGGAGAGTCTATCTACGACAACGAAGTGATACTTGCCAAGGTAAAACTTTATTCTGAATTTGCGTTATGGCATTTAGAAGCTGTCAAATGAAAATGATAAGAGGAGATAAATTCTCTGCTCTCTCGATCCTACCCTCCGTCTGACGCATATTCTTCCGCAAAGTCACAATCACCTCGGGTGGATAAACGCGCTTGTTGTCTCTCTCTCTCTCTCCCTCTCTCTCTCTTGTTACTTGACGTTCTTCGGTAGCATCTTTGTTGAGGAGATGACCTGACCATCCTTTTCACTGCCCGGTTTCGAATGGACTCCAGCATCACGAACGAATAGTTTTGAAATATTATACGGTCGCATAACAAGACCACGGCAGATCTAATGCCGTTGTAAAGACCTTGAATCATTCACAAGTGATGGAGTTCAAACCTCGCAGAGCATGCTACATCACATGCGTACTATCTTGTTTCCACCCTTACTCCTGGAGTATATTTTAGCTAGTATTTGAGACAATGAATGTTATTCAGTGTCTCAGGGTAAAGGCCTCTGGAAAGGAACTGCCTCAATCTTGCATGGTACTTTCATTTGGTTGCTCTACTCTTCCTACCAGATGGAGCCAACTGCTGCTAATGACCACACATATAACACTCTCAGGGAGGTAACAGAGCCCGTTCCAGTCCTGCCGATGTTACCATACGACGTATTGGATCCTTCTCAGGTTCCTATCAACAATGTAACTCCCGCGTCCGGAAGTTCAACAGAACAAGCCAAGGCGAATGCTCATCAAGACGAATGCACGTATGAAAACACTCCAAAGATAGCGAAGCATTGAATGTTCCTCCTAAAACTATTAATTCTCAGCTTGTACTTTCATCGTTTACAATAAATATTAAAACCCTGCTAAGGATCGAACAATGTTCACTTCATGACATGTACATCTGGTATAAATATGTCGAGTCGCCACTGGCTTTTCCGCAATGCACGCAAATTGTATTTTACATTCCATAAAAGAGCAACACCCTTTCAATCACTTTCTGGAATTCATGAAGGTTTCAACACAAAAGGTACCCGCGTTCATTTTTTAAACGTTACATAGGCTTGCGTGACGCGAGCTGTGCCAGGATGTACGTAGTAACTGATGGATGGGACAGAGGCATTGTACATATCACGTGCATTTAGCACTTACCATCGACCATGAGTTACAAACCTATCGTTGTTGTCTGTTATTCTTTTTTTATTTTTTGATCTTTCGAATAGATAGTGCATTGAGCACCTATCATTGAACATGAGTTATGTGTCTATCGCCTGCTGTCTTACATTTATTTTTTACTTTTATTTTTTGTTTTCCTCTCTGCTCACTCTGCCTGTCTTCTGGCACATGCGAATACGTGGACTTACTGTTGACGTAAACGCGGACGTGCGAATAATAATAATAATAATACATAATACATTATAATATGAATGTGTGTGTGCATGTGTGAGATATAAAGAATGAATGTGTGTGTGTGTGTGAGAGAGAGAGAGAGATTTAGAGAATGTGTGTGCGGACGCGCGTGTGAGTGTATGTGTATGTGAGAAAAGGGAGAGAGTGTGGGTGTATGTTTGTGTAGTGGTGTGGGCAGGTGTGGATTTAGCATTTGTCCCCAGCTCTATTCTATATCATTCATGCCGGAACTACTGCTGCATAGCCCCAAGTCTGAAGATTTGGCAACTTCACGCCTGCACCTGACTCTTGCGCTATGATACGCGTCGCCCATGACACCCCTCGAAATTTCCCACCTTGCTCCCCCTTATGTTCTGGCTGCCCGTTTTGGATCCATCAGTTGCCTGGTGATCGTAGAGATACGCGAAACTCGGAGTTGTGACAAAGCTTCCAAACTCTCTCTCTTGTGTACAAGGCTCTGCCCTACATTGGCATTGAGCACTCTTCGGACAGTGAAGCACACCACTTGACTAATACATATAATATATATTTGATGTTTATGCAAAAGAGAAGACCAAGGAACTACAGTCAATACCGTCGATCAGTGTTGTGCAATGTTATCACATGATCTGATTGTTTAGTAACTGGTGGTGTTAGTGGACAGTATAGCGTGACTTGTAGTTCCTTGGTCTTTTTTCTCTTTTGTATAAATATAACATTGGCTCTCCATCTGAGTCCATAATTGAAGTTCGCTCCGTTTACGAGGAAACGTTAGGGGACTATGACATCATCATTCATTTTCTGTGGTCATGATTGATTTTTTTCTTTTATTCCCTTGTAATTACGCTGGAAGCTGACGTGGTTTGTTACGTGTTTTCGTGGCTGCCGAGCATCTTACCTGCGCCGCGGATCACGTTCCACCTGTTTAGACCAGTGCCGCCTTGATGGTTTGTAGGCTGGCCAGCTTTAGTAGTATGCTGATTCTAATAATACCCTGTATCTGGTTGTGGGTTGAATAATGACTTTTAATAATAGCTGGTTGACATGCTACAATTGTTTTCGGTTCTTTTATAATGTAACTCGGACTCAGTTCTTTTATATACTCGATTTCGGTACCTTATTGCATTCCGCTTGGTTTTGGCATTCTGTATCACAATTTTGTGGTTTCGCAACTAAAGTTTTGCGTCACAGTCACTTAGTGCACTAGTGGAGTATACTACTACTACTAGTACTGAGCACTGAGAGTACTGTGATCACACTGCTCACACACACACACAGTCAGGTAGATACGCACTGGCACTTCTCGGATCATTCACTGAAGATCTGGGAAATGTTCAGTTGCGCACACTCTCAAGTCAATGATCAAGCCTTGGACTGTCTGCAGTGAAAGGTGCAGACCACATCTGCAAATCACAAACTGATGAAGAAATCCATTCTCTGCTGTATTCACGTCCAGTGCCCAGTGGAGTGATATAAAAAAAGTAAAGTTTGTACATCCGCGTTACCACCGGCTATACAGTTGCGTTGGGAAACACTACCAGCTTGAGGAGTTACACATGTGCCAGGCCACCACCATGCCTGCGATACCAGGTTGGCAGATGCAGCGCCTAACGGCGAGGGTGAGGTGGTAAGTCTCACAACCAATGTCCGAAAAGGCGGCTAACTTCGTTAGCTGCATCCTTGTTACCTTCGCTCCGAGTAGTGAGTGGAGTGATATGCTGTATGATAATTAATGACTGAGACACAGGCGAGTTTCCGACACGTACACATCCTGTAGCTTGCAAACAGAAGGGGACTATGTTTCCTGCTGCTGCGACTGATATTGTGCATGCGTGCAGTATAATGTGAACAATCACCAGCACTTGTCCGTGTATCCGACTTTTAAAGTTTATTACATAGCAGCAGCAACATGCGGTGTCAGCTCTCAATAGAATTGTACTATGACACGTTCAAAATGAACACACATGATTACAACATGTAGATTGTTTTTGTGAGGGAGACCTGCTACATGTAGCCACAGATATCAAACTACAATTCTCACATACTAGTACAGTCATTGTACTCATACAGTAGAATAGTAGCTAACGCTGTTGCCAGAGTCTGTATAGCAAATTGTACGGGTAGGTATGAATGACTTGTGCCACTACATGTGAATACTATGAACACAGCACACAGGTGCAAGAGAAAGTTTCCAAACAGTAACTAATTATACAGTGTGGCTACAGCTACCTGTAGCTGATCTCTCTAGCTTGCTCTACTGGTAACCAGTGCCTGTTCTAGTTTAGCTACTGCTTTTCCGGCAGTGGATCTGCAGCATGGGGGCACGAGCAAGTTCACTTCCTGCTGGAGTTGGAGTGAAGAAATATCATGACCGTCTGTGTGCTGCTTACAGCAATGTGCAGTTCTGCATAGAGACTGATGCAGAAAAAGAACGAATCTTGCAAATGGACGAGCTGATCTCCATGTGGTGTCCAAGCAGAAGTTAAACACTAGGATGCGTGAAGCAGAGAGACTTGGCACAACTGCGGGCAATGAGTAGCTGGCTCATTCATTTGCGTCTGAAGCTAGGAAGCTGCGCAAGATGAAACTTGCCGAAATCCCCACTGTCAAGAAAGCCATGCGAAAACGCATACACGGGAAGACTTTCCGTACCATTGCCTTCGCATCGGCTGGAGCAGGCAAAACCATGCTCTTCACCAAGAAGGGTCCGTATGAATGGGCAAGAGGGCATATCTGGCAACACATCGCTGTCCTGCATGCGCTGGAGCTGCGCTTGGCAGAAGTGCGCAATATCACAAGCATCGCTGAGCTGCTGGATTTGCAAAATTACGGCATCATAAAACTAGGTGAGCAGGCTGAAGTCATTGATTTTTGTTTGCAATCATCCTGAGTCTGTCTGCATCATTCTCGACGGCCTCAACGAGATAAAGCTCGCCGACTGCAGCAAGTTCATGATCGAAGTCATCTGGGGCAAAGAGTTGCCGGGAATCAACCGGATCCTTACGTCATGCCATTCAGCAGAAGCAATGAAGCTGACACAAAGCAGCGAGATAGTCTTCCATTGTCGTCTTGAGCTGCTGGTCTTCGAGAAGGAGGGTTTGGAGTACAACATTTGCAATGTTCTGTCCGCAGACGATGGAGCCAAGTTGCTAGCGGAGCTTTGCAGCAACCCAGAGCTAACCACAATGATGTGCACACCATTTTTCGCCAAAGCAATCTGCAGCCTCTACCGACACAGTCACTGGCTGCCCAACACGACGTCTTCAATCTTCAACTCACTGATCTTTCATATACTGCGGCAGCAGAAATCAAAGCCAGCGCGTGGTGGTGAGCAATACACCGATTGGGATGATGTTCCCCAGGATGTGCAGGAAAATCTACATGATCTCTCCTGGTTCGCTTTTAACATTCTTGTCCATCGAAAAGTCATCTTCACGGATGCTGATTTCAACATGTTTTCATTGTCATCCGCAGCTCAAACACTCAGCATGCTCATCGCCTGCGACACGGCATCACCACAGTCCAGGGCTCAGTGGCGTTTCAGCCACCTGGCACTTCAGGAAGCTCTAGCATCTCTCTACATTGCTAGACAAAACCCCATTGCAGCTGACGTCGCCTGGCTTGTGCAGCGCCTTGTAGCATTCACAGGCAGCCTCAAAATGTTTTGGTGCTTACTGGCCACTGAGCTAGACAGTGAGTCCGTCAATGTGTTGATCGAAGCCCTTGTCAATCCTCAGTCCGCATCGTCTACTGAGCCACAGGATACCGACCAGCATTCCACAGGAGCAGAGAGTCACAACATAACGTGTTTTCTCTTCACAACACACGACCAAATCATGGAATGGGCCGACCACGTTTCCTCCTTTCTCTCGCTGGACGAAGCAGAGCATCCTACAGAAGAGTTGCTGGCTGGCAGGGTCGACCTGTAGTTTGCTTCGGAAGTGTTCCGTCGCAAAATTGACCCAGCCGTCACCAAAATCACCTGCAAGGAGTTCGTTCGTTCATTGCTAGCCATATGGACGGATCGGGTTCCGAGTGCCAGTACACAAATTCTGCACGACTGCCTGGCCGACGAGGCACAAGGATCGGTCATTCAATGCTTCACCGTCACTCTCATTTCAAAGCTACCTCCAGTTCCTCAATTCGACGAAGCATCTCAGCCAAACGCAGCCCAGGACAACGTCAGTACCGTGGAACGAAAGCAACGAATCCTCCACGCCTTCCGGGTCTTCGCCGAGCACGTCCACGCCCAGCAAAGCAGCATCGAAGGCATCCCCAGCATGCAAGCCATCATCAAGTAGTACGGAGTAGATTTAGATGGCATTCCTCTCATGCCATCCGATTGCCAGGCCATCAACGCAGTGATGATGCACCACCACCAGTTCATCACCCGAATCAACCTGTTCAACTGTGGTATAGGTGATACCGGGTAGACCCGGGTGCTCGAATCAGAAACGATTTGACAGGTGTGGAATTTCTCATCTGTAAATCTCAATAATGTCAGAATATACTTTTGGAGAGGCGATGGAACAGGGAAGAGAGTCTGGCTTGACCCACCCAGCAGGAATTCAGAACCTGGGTGCGCTACAACACAAGCTACAGTACGCAGTAAAATTGTCGTATTTCCTTCGGATTTTTTATTTGAAAATTGGGTGCTCGAATCAGAAACAGCGAACTCGTCAGATCGTCTCCGATTCAAGCACACGGGTCTACCATCGTCTACGCTTGGTGTGGCAGTTGAGGGCAGGGAGTAGTAACTTACTACTTCATTTTTGAGAGCAAGATGGTCAGTGGAGCCGCAGATTCAGCAGGTCTTTGGCAGCACCGTACAGGAGACCCATATCCTCGAATCAAGGACCCAGCAAAAAGTGGGTCACGAGTATTTCAAAAAGCGTTTACCGGGCAGCGCTGAAATTTGGCATACCGTTAGCGGGCCGTATGTTGATGGTATTTGTGAACACTAAACGAAATCGGAACAAGTTAAG